TCGTGCAACCATGATTGTATCCATATAGCACGCTACCTACCACAACATTTACTTTAAATAATCGTTGTGATATATAGACCTGAGTCTATTATAAATTATATGGAATACTTATTTTGTCAATGTTCATTAAACATATAACATTTCTATCTGTACTAGAAAACTATAGTATGACAAATTAAGTTATATTAGAAGAATAAGTTACATTTAATGCTAGACAAGAGTTCTTCAAGTCCTTATCTGTATTTTGTTCTTTGACAGTAAGAGCTTGGTTTAATGATCATAGTTCTTCAACCGCCCTTGTCTTCACCTCTAATTCTTTTTGCAAAATATTATTTACTTGCAAATAAAATTAAAGTTGGAGATAGGGGTGGTTGAAGATCTACAATTATTAAACCAAGTTTTAACGGTCAAGAAACAACATGTTGTTAACAGTGTGAAAAATTCTTGTCAAGAATTGAATGTGTACTTATTTTCTAATATAATTTTATCTATCATATCATAATTTTCTAATATATTTTAGAAAATTATATGTTCGGTAAGGGATTGGAAAAACACTCAAACCACATAATATATAAGAAACTCATCTTTTAAGCAAACATTAACAAGAACATTCATCAAAAACATTCATCAACAACAAACACGATACAACAAACATATCAAGATATAAAATGGTTCAGAAACATACCATACATGACTCAACTCATAATAGCGTGTTGTCAATGAAATAAGGATGAAGATAAATTTAGACCTGCAAACTTGTGCATATTTTGAATGAATATCATTCTGGATCATTGGCACAAATTTTAAGGCTAAATTTATCTTCGTCCTCTTTAATGAAAGAAGCATCCATACCTACAAGTCCAAACAATAAAGAAGTTCAAACATCATAAAACAAGTTATAGAAACAGATTTTGAAAAACAAACTATAGAGAAAACAAACATGTAAATACCCATTGGCTAAGATTTGTTATTATGGTTTCGTTTTAGAGTTTTCATATGAGAAAGGCGAGTGAGAGAGTTGTTAGGGTTTTGTTCTGAGAAAGACGAGTGACAGAGTTAGAGTTTTGTTTTAAGAGAGACAACTATTATGTACTGAAGCGATAAATAATTTCGCTTATATAAATAAAGTATCACCTTTCATCACGGTTGGTAATAAAAACCGTGGTGACATACAAGGTCAATAAAATTTTTATCACAAATAAATGGCTAATTGTATATGTTGGGATTCAAACCATTTCACTCAGTGTACCTTTTCACTATGGTTGCTTCATTTGACCGTTGTGACATGTCCTCTAGTAAATACAAGAAAAAAATGCCCAAAAATAAACTATTACCATGGTTAACACTATGGCCGTTATAAAATTGGTATTACGAAAGATATATTTTACAGTAGTGTTAGTCAAATCAAATTTAGTTTTTGCATTGAATTTGAGATTCTCAATTCCATTGTGAATATTTCTTATAATGAGTAGATCATTCACATATAAACACATTATATTTAGATTATCTTGATTAAGTCCTTTCACGTATATTTCATATTCATCTTTACACTTGGAACAAATAGTCTTGATTCAATCCATTCACATAGATTCCATATTTAATACACATCAACCCTCTTATTTCAGAATTATATAGCTTGTTTAAGCACATATAAAGCCTTATTAGACTTCAAGACCTTCATCTTCACCTTTCATAATGAATCCCCGAGTTTGTTCAACATAAACTTTATCCACAAGGAAGCCATTGAGAAATGCATACTTGATATTAAGTTAAAAAATAATTCATTGCAAGAAATTAGCCACAAATACGACTAATTTGATTATCTCAATACTTACAATTGGTGCAAAAAACTTGTGAATTCAAGGCCAAGCTTTTGTAATGATTCCTTTGCAGCAAGCCTTACCTTATGTTTTACAATGGAACCATTTGGAAATTGTTTCACTCTCTAGACCCATTTGACTGCAATAGGTTTCTTATATGCTAGTAAGGAAACTAGATTTTATGTTTGATTATTCTTGATTGCCTTAAGTTCTTGCTTCATAGAACTAATCCACACATAGTATATAGTTGTTTCTACTTTCTTACTTTTACAAAACTCTAGTTACTTAGACAGACACAACCTGGTGAACTTTCACACTTCATCTCTTTCACTACTATAAGGCTTCAAGATTCTTTTCTTGATACATCTATCATATAAACACTTCAATCTTAAGTCTCTTTTCTTGATAAGACTTGAGATGACTTTCTAGTTGGGTCACCATCATCCGAAATTTGAAAGTTATTGCCACCGACTTCAACATTAACAACTGTTATCGTCATCAAAACATCATAAAGGAAATTTTGTGTGATTATTGACTTTATACCTACAAGCACATATATCCATGTAGATTTCCTTTAAGACCATGTCTAATATCTCGGTTGGACTCTTGTTGAAAATGAAATAGGTAGTTATGACAATTTCACCCCAAAGCATGTGTAAGTTTCTTTTATTATAGCATACATCTCGTCAATTTTATGATAGTCATGTTCTCCTCTCAGCAATACCATTATGTTCAGGGGGTGTATGGTGTTATGGTCTCATCCTAAATTATCATCTCTTCATAAAAAGGTTTAAAATCATCTTGAAGTTTATTCATTACATCTATCACTCCAAAGAATTTTGAGTTACATTTCGACTTGTTTTCCACCATTAATTTAAACGTCTTACAAATTTTGAGAATTCCACCTTTAGTTTTAATGAGATAGTCTCACATCATTTTTTTGAACTCATCCATATAAGAAACAAAGTATGTATTCCCTCTTGATGACATTGTGTAAAAGGCAACACAAACATCAGTAAATACCATATCAAGTTTAATTCGAGCTCTCGTTGGAATTTGATGAAGGTGAGTTTACTTGCTAAAAGTACAACAATTGAGCGACGGAGAATCTACTCACGTGTTGTTGTGAGATACTCTATGCATTTCTCTATGGAATTTATGGATACCTTTTTCTAATTCCAAGGCTGGGTTATATAGAGGACATATGGGTCAGGAGATGTGGTTTCTCCCACTTCCTTATAAGGAACGCGAGAGCAAAAGGATACCAGTTCCTCCTTAAATCACACGGGAGGCACCTTTTCCTTTTGGGTTGATACTTCATAACCGTTGCTACCTGAACACCTTAAGGGTTATGTGTATCAAAACATTATGAAAGTTCTCAACATGATCGTTAACTTCATACACGGAAAGACATAGATCCACACAATGTACGCATGTGACTTATCAGTCAAAATAGTACATCCAATCAAATGTAACATTTATACTTTAGCAGACTCTTCATACTTAACATGATCCACCAACATCGTATATATCTTCTAGAGCAAAGATATACGAAAATAACACCCATGTTAACCTTAATCTCCTTTAAAGCACCCTTTATGTAACCCTCGAATATGTATATGCACTCTTGGCAGCTAGGTCACCAATTATCAATGGAGGGCTAAAGAGGTTACCGGGAATGGGGATACGGGAAAGGCTAGACATACCGTCTAATGTGATTTTCATCTACCCAAATGAAAGATGGAATGAAGAGACTTACTTATGTCATCGCTCCAAAAAAGTATATATCAATTAAATATTTAACATGGTAAGAGAACAATGAACCGACGACAATAAACCTCCACCATCCACAAAACTCTTAACCTCATCAGGCATCTCCACCCCGGAAATTACTCCAGTTTCATCTTATGGGTAAGGACCTTCAATATTTAACATGGCAATGCTAATATAATTAAATCATAAATTTTTAATTATTTTAATTAAGAGATATTACATAAAAATTAAATCAAATTAAAATAATTATACTCGTCTTTGCCATAAATGCAAGACAATGTGACCACTGTACAACGTCAACGCTGTCAAGTCGGAGACCTTTCAGGGAACCCCAATGCAGTCTCATCTCTTACGGGAGCCATAATAACCCTCTTATGTGTCGTACTCATGCATCTCTTAATGTGTCTATGTATGATCAAACACCTCAACATGTGCCTTTGTATTAATATGCTTAGATACCCCAACTTGCGCCTCGTCCACATCACCTATAGTGCCTCCCCATACTACCTATGCAAAAAAATAGTCAATGGTCCCACAAACTTCATTTGTTCTCCTACGATGAGAACACATAAGAGATAATCTGCTTGCCCTAATAGCAATCTGTCTATTAGGACCTATTATTTTGATTGTCATAAAAGAACTATTATGCATACTACTATATCCTTCAATCTTTAGATAATGCAACCGTATCCTCCTATTATCCTCATTAAAAAAATAAAAATATTTAATAAGTGAAAAAAAAAACCGATTTATACAAAAATCCAATGGCACCTCCCCCATGCGAATTTTTGTTTTTTTTTTCCGCAAAATTAAGTGTCACCCATACCAAAATTTTGCATAAATTCACTACCACTCTACTCCACTATTAAATTTCCATAAAATTCAGTGCCCCCAACAATATACTAGATTTTATGCCCTGAACCCCATCTCATACCAATTTTTTTAAAAAAATAGATGAGATCCTATTCACACATATCAAAAATATATTAAATCTAGTGACGATCTATATATTTCATATCAGTTTAGTTGGAAAATCAAAGGTATAAGTGAAAAAATATACCAAAATCATATTCAATTTAAAAATATGGTAAATATACAAATTTTAAAAAAATGCAGAACTTGTGAATTTCCAAAATTTTCCAAAAGATTTATAAAAGGAGGGTAGGATGCAGGTACTAATGTGCCAGATAAAAAACTCAAGAAAATAGGTTCCATCCAAGATGTAAGCCATACCCATTGTAGTATTGGGCTGGGCTTGAGAATAACAAAGCCCATACACTGCTTTCAATCTTGCAACCATTCTATTCTCTCTCTCTCTCTGGTTTCACTTACGCACGCTCACTCATTTCCTCTCTCTCCATTTTCTCTCCGACTTGCGAGCCCGAGCGATCCAACCCTACCGTCACAATGTTCCGCCGCGCTACATCCACTTTCCTTTCACGCGCCTCCGCCACTCGCCGCTTCTCCAACGATGTGGCTACTCCCGCCCCCAATTCCAGCTTCGTTGAAGCGTGGAGGAAAGTTAGCCCCAATATCGATCCACCTAAGACGCCACTCGAATTCCTCAAAACTCGTCCACCAGTTCCTTCTACTATCCCTACCAAACTCACCGTCAATTTTGTGCTTCCTTATTCTTCTCAATTGGCCGCTAAAGAGGTACCTCTTTTCATTTTCGATCTGTTCTTGTTTTATGTTGTAGTTGTTGATTTTGATTTGTGTTGATGGTTTTTCAATTTTGGAATTGGTGATTCGAGATTATTGTGGAATATGTTTAAATTGGATCAATTGATTGATTAAAATATATAAATTTATACTTAAGATCCAATTGTGAAGGATTTGGATTCAAATTGTTGACGAGTTTTATTTGACATGATTTATGATATTAGTGAAAAAATGGTTTTGTTGTATTTAGTTGAGTTAACTAATGATTTAACTTCAAAGAAAAGAATGATACAATATTTGATGCATTTTTGTGTTTGTAATGTTTTAAAATTTTCGTTTGTGTAAAAACTTTCGCGATTTCCGTAGTTACTGGTTTTGGGATACTCATTGTGATTGTGGTAGTTGCGGTTTAAATTAAGTACAATTTCTTTTTCATCATAAAAACAGTGAATAACGGTATTGGAAGGTGCCAACACCTTTTTATTGCGGCCATTTTTGCTATAACTGGCTGTTTTTTAAAACAAGTGTGTTTATTTTGAATACAAAACTGAATTTAGGTTGTAGTTCAATGATGTGTTTGTTGTTAAATTTTCTTTGTGGATATTTTTATTTTCATGTCTAGGAATGCTACTTTATGTTCAGTTCTGATCCCGTGCTCCATTTTCTAGGGTTGTGGTTATTTTTTAAGATTTTGATGTCTTTATGTTAAGTTTTTCCCTTCATATTTCAATTGCTTGAGGATTGAAATTTAACCTGCATAGGCTGCATTCGTTTTCTAGTGTTCTTTGTGGTTTCTTTTATTTTGCTGTGTAAAATTATGTTTTGTAACAGCATTTCCTTTTCAGTTTGGATCGAATCCTGAAACCTTGCTGTTAGAATATAATAATATAGTATTTCGTGCATTTGGACTTGGTGTTCTTTGTTCTGTTGGATTAATGTAATCCTCAGAGTTAGGATTTCCTGGATAAAATAATGCTATAGGGTTTCAGGTGCTTCTTATTATTGTGTTATCCCTATTTCTTGAAGAAGGAATTGTTTAGTGATACAGAACATGAAGCCTTTCTTTCTTCTCATGCCATCATCCCCTTGTTTTATCTAAAAGGCTACATCATGCTATATAGTCTAGCCAAACAAAACATAGAAAAATTCTGAACTTCTGCAAAATTTAGAAATAAGAAGAATGCTGCCAAAGTGTCGACAAAATTTACCGTGCGGCAAACATAGATAGACTTTTCAATCATCCATGGAAGTGACATTTGGAATGGGTATAGCCTTGTTATATTTTACATTTCAGCTTCAATTTGAACACTTGACCATATGGTGATTTTATGATCTTTATATCTGGCAATGAAATTTTTATTGTAAAGTATACATTAGGTATTTTGGAAACATCTCTTTTAAGGACTTGGTTTTGAAACTTTCATTGAACATTTTTCATCTAAAACTGGCATCTTGGTTCAAGTGTGGTATTTCTAGCTTCAATGTATTTTTGAAAAATAGTTGAATGGACGAGATTTCATAATTTCACACAGCAAGATAGTATTCAGGTTTGTGAATAGAAGAATTCCTGAGAATTTAAATAGCCTCTATGGTATAAATGATGGAAGAGTCTCATCATAACTCATTGGTGGTCCGTGGAGAAGACCCACAAGTATCGGTATCGTGTATCAGTGAGGAGAGTTGATCGAATGAAAGGTACTCCAATATTAGTGGCAGGGGTAGGTCAAAAAAGTTATTGGTCAAGCCTCACTGGGAAGAGATGTTGCTGGTTATTGCCTAATAGAATAAAAAAAGAATAGTATATTACTAGGGAACTTCACATATTTATTTCAGTGTAATTATCTGTATTGACAAATTTGGATATCTAATTTATTTTCTAATGCTGCAAAATCATCCTTCTCTGGTTCCATAGTTTTTTGGGTTTCAATGTTAAACAAATTTCTTAATTTCTCTTTCCTGGGAAAATGACACATTTTATGTTTTATAGGTTGATAGTGTTATAATCCCAGCTACAACCGGTGAGATGGGTGTTCTTCCAGGACACGTCGCAACAATCGCAGAGTTGAAACCTGGGGTTCTTACTGTACAAGATGGCACTGATACAACCAAATATTTTGTAAGCAGTGGCTTCGCCTTCATCCACGCAAACTCTGTTGCTGATATTATTGCTGTAGAGGCTGTGCCAGTGAATCAACTTGATGCAGACTTAGTCCAGAAGGGTCTTCAAGAGTTCACTCAGAAACTCAACTCAGCAACAACGGACTTGGAGAAAGCTGAAGCTCAGATTGGAGTTGATGTGCATAGCGCTCTCAACTCAGCTCTTACAGGCTAAATACTGAGTTGAACTTTACATTTTCAATTGTTTATTTCCCCGGTTTTTTCTCTCGGTGTAATCAAAGTTGCTGAACAACATTTTCAGCATGTATTTTGGGTTGAAAACTGAATTGATAAAATAATATATTTCAACAGCTTCCATCTAGATCCAGGAAGTTGAGCAAGACATTGAAATCAGAAACAAAAGCTTGATATATATAATTTGGATCATAGGCATTACGATTTCAACTTCATAAGCCGTGCATCTTTGTTGGTTAGTTTAACCAAAAGGCTCGAAATCGTAAGCCGTGCATCTTTGTTGGTTAGTTTAACCGAAAGGCTCATATTTCGCCTGCAACCTCTACATGTTTTGATTTCGTCATGCAGATGCATGAAATTTCAGGGAGCCTTATTAATCTCAAAACACTTGCGGTAATTAAAATCCTCTTAAGTTAAGAAAATGTTCATTAAGCTAATAAAAAAAAGATGTTTTGATTAGCTTCTTTGGAAAATTATTTTTCACAACTGTTTTTTAATTACAAAAGTGATTTTTTATGGTATCAAAACAACTCTTTTAATTGTTTTTTTGCTTAATTTTATTTAAATGAAAATCATAAATGAATTAGATGTAGAATGTTTGCCATATCATATATATTCAACTAATATATGATATACTAACTTTTAAGTCAATATCTAATTTCAATATAAATCACCTCTTCCATAAAACATTGATTTGTCCCTGTATAGTTTCAAATTTTAAAGTTATCTTCTTTCAATTTAATAATCCAAAAATGTAAATTCAAAGAAAAAGGTAACTACTATCAATGAAGTATGTGTTATAATTTGGTGCACTTTATTTCCAAGAAGCTTATAAACAAGTTCTTCTATAGTTGTCCAATTAAGTTTTACTTCACATTGGAAAGAAGGGAGAAGAGGGAGGAGTTATGTTAGTACAAACTAATGAAACATTATTCCTAGTTAATGATAATAATTCCCATAATAATTTTGTTGATACCCTCCCATGTAGAAATTATTAGGTTGTTGTTGTTGTGTTGGAAATCCAACATTTCCTTGCATTCCACTTTTTGCATATTGCTGCCACATTGCTTGTTCATCAAGTAACAACCTTTGTCTTTTCTCAATTTCTGACATTTGCACATAAGCTGGTGGTGCCACAGCCATTGACGCTGCAAATGGATCTTGATAATCATTACTCGATGTTTGCGGCGCTGGTAATGCTAACATAGGCACCGCCGAAACTCTTGCAACACTACTAGCACTTCCATAACCATTCATTCCTTGCTTTGTTGCTACATTTTGTTCATACATGCTATCCAATAACAATGTGTCAAATCCACCACCTAACGATGGTTTCTGATTTGGCAAGTTACTACCTGATTGAACTAGTGAAGTTTCCCAATCAGATTCATCATCAAAAGCATGCCATGGAAGAGCTTGTGTTGTTGTTGATAATTCACCATCAAATAATGCTAATGCAAGTTTGTTTTCATTATAATTTTGTTTTGACATCATATCATCACCTAAACCTAACAAATCACCTTCTGTTTGAACTATTTTCTCTTCCTTTATCTCTTGTTCTTGTTCTTTCTCTTCCTCCACAACTTCCTCTATTGGTTCTTCATTGAATCCTTCCGGTGGCGGAAGTGCTTTGATTTCATTCATATCCTCTTCTACTTCTTTTTCTTCTTCTTTTTCTATCGGTTTTTCTTCTATAATGATTTTTTCTTTTCGTGATGATTTGTCTCTGATGAACTGATCAACCAGTTCTAATTTCTTTGTTGTGACTTTTTCAATATTTGGATACTCAGAAGAGCGCCCGACTCCAATACTTTTAGACCAGGTATAAAATAAGTCGAGTTCATCATATTGTTTTCCGATGCGACAGAAAATCTCATACACCTTATAACATTCTTGTATTTCCATCTCAGTGAAACGATCAATGAAGACACCTAGTATTTTTGTCATGTCATGATATATTTGAAAACTTTCCTTCATAATAGGGTAGAGTGCCACTATCACAATTCTATGACTCCTTGCTCTACCTGTTGAATTCAAATAAACATGAGATTGAGTCTTATGCTTGTATATGCAGTTTTATTTTATTAAACTTTGTTTGAAATTCATTGAAAGAGTGCATTTTTACAACTTAATTATAAGAATAATGTAACATATATTTATAGGTTTTTGCTTTTAGTCCTTCAAAAATAATTCTTTTAACACGTTCATTTTTCGTTATCATAACTAACAGAAATGCACAATGATTAATAATGTTATGTGAACTCTAACTCGAATTCATCTTCTTCTCTTAATTCCCACCGTCTCCACACCATAGAGCGACTAGACGGTGAGAGGAGTGATGAAGTTGTTTTATAGGTGAATTGAAGTCTTTTTTCTTTATAGGCAACATTACTAACTTGTTATGCTCTAATTATTAACAAACCTGTTGGACGACAAGCCATAAAGCGCTCAAGCAACAATTGCAAATGCTGCATTTTGGAAAAGAGTTGTTCAGTCTTCATTTCAAACAATGGTATTGATTTCGCAACAATTTCTCCATCTTTATCTCTTTCTCTATTTCGTACTTTTTCCTCTGATTGTTCTTCCTCGTCTTCTTCATACGAAAACCTACCACTTCTTCCGCGCTTATGTTGCATTGTATACTCAAGCCTTTCGTCTAGATACAACGCATACGTGCGAACAAACGAACAGTAATCCCACGAATTAGACTTAGACTTGTCCCTAAAATCAGACATGTTTAGAAGTCGAGTCCCACGTCGAGTTGAGAAGAATATCTCTTGTTCATAAGCTGGATCACCTTCAGATATCAACCTTTGAATCAAAATAAGTGTTTTCAAAGAAACCGTCCAGCTACTCGTTTTACTCAAACGCTTAGCAAGAGTTTTGACACAAGCACTTATAAACGCGCGCGAGTAACACGTTAGGCTTAGGATTTCCCTAATGTGTTTCTCGTCCGCTGGATTTTCCGAGTGTTTTGTTGCTTTTACAATGGCAACTTCAAGGTCACCTAGTGAGGAGCTGCTTCCAACTTTTGCTAGCCCTATGCTTGTTTGATCCTTCACTGCTCCAATGGCTCTTCTTAATGTACTTTGTGACATTGTTTGATAGTTCTTGAATGTGGCCTGAAAAATATTTTATTTTGCACGTTAGTCCTTTCAAATTATTCCAACTTATCATCCAAATTTCATAATCAAACAATTTAGTTTGCTAAACTAACAAAAATCTGAAACAAGATCTAAAATCAAAATCTTCCGCTACATTATAAATTTTTATTTTTAATAATTATTTAGAAGTTTTGTTAATTTTAAATACTATAATACAATTTTATTTTTTCATATAAAAAAAATCTAAAAACACAAAAATAGAGAGGATGTTACCTGCTTATGAATATCTTTGAATGAAGAAAATGTTATAAACCTAATAGGTGTGACCTTAAACCAAATATTGAGAAGGGAAATGAACAAGAAAAGAAAGGCTTTTAGATTATTATTTTTCCTCCAACCTTTTCTTCTCTTGTTTCTTCTCCCTTCTCTCTCTGTTTCTTTCTGTGTCAAGGGGTTAAGACCAAAACTCAAAATGGCCAAACAATAAACCAAATTTGTAGCATTAAAATGTGGGAAAGATATGAGATGTCATCACATATGCATTGATTTACCCTTTGACCTTTTCAAGGGAGTTGTCACCAACTTAAATAAGTGCTACAATTTTCACACTTAAAAAAAAATCCACTATTTTAATTTTTTATTATTAAAATAAAAAATCTGTAGTTGTTAGCCTGATTTTTTTTTTCTTGTTTTTTTTTCTCTCTCGTATACTAAACTTGTTTTTATGATGTTATATCAGCTAATTCTAAGTCTTTAAAGATTTGTAGTAATAAATTGGGCTACAAAATATTTATAATTAATTAATCATTTTAAATCCATAGAACTAATTATTTTAAAAATTTTGAGACTTCAAAATATATATATATATATATATATATATATATATATATATATATATATATATATATATATATATATATATATATATATATATATATATATATATATATATATATATATATATATATATATATATATATATATATATATATATATTACTTATCAAAAATTTCATTGGAAGAATCTCAATTATTATACAAGATATTGATATATCTGAAAATGTAGAGATTGTTGATGAGGTACACATTCTCAATCATCTTTTTAGAAACTAAATTATGTATTATACAATTATATGAGAATATAATTGTGAGATGTTGGATCGAACTCTAGTATAATATAAGGGTAGCTTTTGGTCCGACAAGAATTAAGCATGAGGTCGAAGTCTGTTCGCATACTGCAATCGAAGATAATGCGAGTTGTAGTCGAAGTTTGTTCTAACATGCATTAGTCAATATTGCTAGGTTGTTAGCATATTGGATTGGGTCTTGCTTATAAGCACAAGTGTTTAAGTTAGCTTGTAATGAATAATTGTTAAAAAGTCCATTAGGTTAGTGTGCTATTTTTTTTATAAATAGGATGTTAGTTTCTCAATCTTGGCATAAGGAAAAATAGGAAGATAAAATCCTAATTTCAAAGAGAGAAGTTATTTTGTTATTCTTGTATACTTGTAATCTTATTCTAAGAGTAAAGAAAGAATTGCAGTATATAACTAATCTTTTTTGTTCCTTGTTGTTTTACCTTGTTATCTTTGTTAACCCTAACCATTGTGTGTTTCTTGATCATAAAAAAATCGTTTATACTTTATTTCAAAACATCTGATTCACAACAAATTGGTGCGGTGAGCGTGGAGAAGATGCCTTCAACAAAGTATGAGACTGAAAAGTTCACCTGAGTGAACGACTTCGGTTTGTGGCGCTTGAAGATGAAAACCCTACTGGTTCAGCAGGGTTCTTTGGAAGCGTTGAAGGTGAGATAGCCATCGACGTTGCGTTAACGGCAAAAGAAAAGACGAACATGATCGAGAAAGCCCACAACACAATATTGTTGAACTTTGGTGATAAGGTTCTTCGGTAGGTATCAAAGTAGACTACAACATCAGGATTATGGGTGAAATTTGAAAGTTTGTATATAATTAAATCTCTAGTGAATCGACTATACCTGAAGCAAGCTTTGTATTCATTAAAGATGAGTGAAGACAAAGTGTTGGATGATCAGTTGGATATGTTCAACAAGCTGATTCTTGATCTTGAAAATATTGATGTGAAGATCGATGATGAAGATCAATCATTGTTGTTGTTGTTGTTGTGTGCTTTGCCAAGAACACATGCTCACTTCAAAAAAACTCTCTTGTATGGAAGGGTGTCCTTGACCTTTGAAGAAGTTCAATCGGCCTCGACTCTAAGGACTTGAACAAACGAAAGGAACATAAACCATCGACGGCGGGCGAAGGTTTGGCCGTTAAGGGAAAATTCTTGCGAAAGGTTGGTAAGTTCGACAAGAAGAAAGGATGGTGTGTGTGTGTGTGTATATATATATATATATATATATATATATATATATATATATATATATATATATATATATATATATATATATATATATATATATATATATATATATATATATATATATATATATATATATATATATATATATATATATATATATATATATATATATATATATATATATATATATATATATATATATATATATATATATATATATATATATATATATATATATATATATATATATATATATATATATATATATATATATATATATATATATATGTGTGTGTGTGTGTGTGTGTGTATCTGTCTAATTGCGCCTCTCGGTCTTTTGTCTAATTGCGCCTCTCGCGGAAGCATTCACCACCGGTCTTTAATTTGTCCAAGGAAATGGAAAAAGATCGAATAACCCATGAGTATGCAATGCAATGCAATAAAGAGAATTTACGGTTCAGGGGTTGGTTAAACTTAGGGAAGGTGTTAGCATCCTAAGCATCTGTAGTACTCTACAAGAAATTCTTATTTTATATGTATTATTGTTGTTTGCTAAGGGTTACCTAGGGGTTTATTTTTAAGTATGCTCGCCAAGAAATCGCATCTTGTGCCTACATATCCTGACGGGAATGGAATCAGAGAACTCGGAGTTCTCCTAAAGGGATGAGGAACTCTTAAATGTGGTCAAGATTCAAGAGGGATAAGTTGTTGATTAATTTTAGGAGAAGAGACAAGTTGTCATCTTAAGGAGAGTACTCGACTTAAACCACCAGAAACATGCGGAAGACGGTCTTTGTGTCGCATTGAAAGAAGAACTCTAACTCAAATCTATAATCGACGAGTATGCCACATACCTCTCTCAAGCGGAAAAGATTCTCCATCTTTCTCGATTATGTTATGGGGTAGGAAAATTATATCTTGACTACATAGATGAATCATGTCTACTTCTCTTGTGGGAGAAAAAGGGATTTAACTTGTAAGTTGTCTAAGTTGGAAATCTATGGAAAGCTATTCCAAGAAATAAGGGTATATCCTTAGCTGATCAACCTAAAAGGAATCAGGGATCAAGCATGGGAAATGATGCAAATGAATAATGCAATGAGTATAACTTATGAAGTCAAATACAAGTTCTTCCCTTGGATATAAACTTGTATAATCATATTATTAAAAAGAAAACAAATAGAAGCATCAAATATTAAAGCTAAAGTCATAATCGAGTGTTTAACACATGGGATATGCAATATAATGTCCAACCAACTTATAAAGAGAGATATCATAGTATACATCATGTCAAACACAAATGAAAGCTAAGAGTGCACAAGCAAAGGGGGCATGATATAACTCAAGACTAAAGCTTTTTTTATGTTTTATTTTAAAAGAGTTATTAGACAGATATCAATCTTAAATTAGCACAAATATTTAATTAAATAAAACCGTGTAAGCACTAAAAAGGAAGAAAGGGTAATTATAAACACATGAGTGGGATTTTTAATAAAAGTAATTATAAAAAAGAAAAAATATCAAATTATAAATTTATTTAATATTTAATAAACTTTAGAACCAATTTTATTTTTAATTATAAAATAAATTAATTATATCAATTTGACAAAAATTGGACTAAGTAGAAGCAAATAAACTTACTTGATTAAAAATGTTCTCTCTTATTATCTATCTTTTCTTTTTAATGAAAAAAGAAATTTTGTTATCTTATTACTTAAAAAAAATAGAAATAAATCACAAAAAAACTAAAAAGGTAAAAGGGGAGGAAAAAAAACACAGGCCAGAAGGGGACCATCATAGCCCCCTAGTCAACCTGCAACATGTCCGTTTGATCAAAACGGGTTAATAGTTGACCCTGATCAAAGGTAAAGGGTGAGGGTGCACGCAATGCCTAGTGGAGTCGCGCTTACAGAATCAATTCTCCATATAAACATAAAAAACCCTCGAACACCTATTCCTCTTTTCTTCCTCGAGACGCCTTCTCCGCTGCTGCTTCTTCGTCATCATCCTCCATGTTCACTCGAAACAACAGCGGTGGAAGGATGCAGATCTCTGATAGCGTTCCTATCAAACTGATTGTCTCTTAAACTTGAAAGCACAAAATTTTTAATATCAAAGTTAGCAGGATCTGCTGGTACAAACCATCTAAAAACTTCATCATCATCGGTCCTCTTGCAGTAATCTCCCATAGTTGGGAGTTATGGAGAAGCAATGTTATTCTCATCTTCCGAGTTCGAAGAAAGTATTGGTAGATCTACTTTGGGTTGGTCTCTGTCAGCCGGAATTTCTTTTATAGCTGCTTTTCTAAGGACACATGCGATTCTTTCAATTTCTAGATTGAATGGTAGTAATGTCGATCCTGAACTACACATACACAAACAGAAAAGACCTCAGTAGCACTATGATAAACAAGAAAACAAACACAACAGTAAAAACCAAAATTAACATAAAATAAGAAAAATATGTTGCACAAAGTGTTGCCCTGTTGCAATCAACAATCTCCGGAAACTACGCCAACAACTTGATCACTTCTCGGCAAGTGTATCGATGATGTCGCAGTAATAAAAAGACCGAATCCATAAGAACCGTGTTCGAATAGAACAAAAATTTGTGCAATATTAACTAAAAGCAGTAAAGAGGTTTTTT